GCATCAGACACTCTTTGTATAAATACCTGAGTTCAAAATATTGTGACTTGCACTGGGTACAGCACTTGGTGTGATTATTGACTTGTTTTCCTACCTGCCTGTAGCTGTCCCTCGTGCATTGGGTGGTTGTACTGTAATTTCTGTACTTGTGATTCATGATGAGTGTATTGTTTCCAGAGTGGTTTTCATTAAATACAGTAACAATGAAAATTGTGGCTAAGGAAAACAGTTTCCATGCATGAATATTAAACTCTAATGGAAACCATGCTGCAAGATTAACAGGATTGGCATCGAGATGATTACCCAGCCGAATTAATCTGTGCCACTAAAATTGCATGTCCAGCTTTGAATGAGGACATTCTCATAAAATGAAGGAACAGCTCACCCTGTGGATGATCCCTGTAAACCAAATTTGGAACTGGAGGCTCAGTGGGACAGTGGTAACAGCCTCAGCCTGTCTGTGTTGTACATGCTGGAGAGGTCCTTCCATGGATACTGTTCTTTTTCACCTGGATACCGCTGACTCTTGAGGCCTCTGTTTACTCAGCTGTAGGACAGGGATTGTGTGATTACCTATCTTGGAGGCAGTTTAATGGGTACTTTAATGTTTGGGTTTTTTTTTTTAAATTTTGGAACCTTTTCTGTATAGGTTTTATAGGAAGGAGAAGCATTTTTCATTTTAAGTATCATAAGCACTGAAAGATTCCCTTGGTGACTGACTTGGTGTGTAAATACAGGCAGGGCATCTCTGTCAAACATATCATTGCCATTGAATGGAAAGGCAGAGCATGAATCACTTCAGGGTTTCCTGGTTTTCCTTGTGGAGGATGTTAAGAGAGGCTACAGGAATGTAATTGATGGCAATGTGTGAGCTGCACAAATTGAAAATCGTGGGAGGATGAGAAAAACATCCAGCTCAGCACCAAAGTAGTAATGATGGGGAATGGGAGGTTTGCTCTGAGCATGTGGATATGCAGGGAGTCTCCATCTGTGCCAAGCAGACTTCAGGACTTGGAGCCTGGCTCCCTTCCCAACAGCAAATACATTGAGAGGAGGAGAGCCAGCCAAGTTTTAATCAAGTAAAAGTTCTGTATCCAGAGGTGGTTGGCAAAAGAAGAGATTAAAGTATTAGGAGCGCAATGAAAACAAGACATTAGAGAGTTGAAAGCTGGAGTACCTGGACAAACCACTTGCTGAGTGAATATTCCCCAGGCATCAGGAGGAAGCCCCTGGTGTTTGAAAGAGGGCAGAATGGGAGCCCACGCAGCAGAACTTGTGCTCTCCCAGCTTTGGCCATCCCTGTGGCAAGTGTGTAATATCCTAATGCCTCGCTGAGCTGGTGGGATAAATGGAATCATTCCCCTCAGAGATATTGCTGGTGGAGGGCTCATTAGCTGGCAGAGAGGCCAACAGCTGCAAACTGTTTATGTATGACAACTTTTTGGATAAAAAGTGAGTTTACACAGTTGCCTGTGTCCTAGGGTTTGCTGTGGAAGTGCAGAGAGCTCTGCCTGTTCAAGCCCAAGCACAGAAGTTATGGCCTGTAATTATGTAATTTCTCAGGAGAGAAAGGAAAAAACCCTCGTGCTTGGGAACAGTAAAAATAGTATTTGGCTTTCCTTTACCACTGATGCTCCTGCTTGACCTTTTTTTATATTAAAAATAGACTTGAGGTATTTGCTAACAGTGTATCTGAAAGATAAGGACTTTCTTCCCCACTGTCTGTGTGTTTGCAGAAGCACATGAGAAGTGTGAGGTATTTTTTTAAAAATAAAAAACTCAGTTCAGCTTTCCTTCCTATTTTTCATTTCCACACACCTGTCTCTCCAACAGGACCAGGAGCAAAATTACCAAATAAAATAATTTCCTCCTATATCATTCCCAGCCTGGTAGAACCACAGCATGCCAGGATTTTCACAAACATATCTGAATTCCAGTTCTGCAGACTTGAAAGGCTCAGATAGAAATCTGGAAATTTGAAGAGGCAAACAGCAGTTTCCATTCATCCCAGTGAAGAAAATAAATCATATTAATGCAGCTACCAAGGCATTGTGCTACTATGGCTGTTGGTTGAAGGTGTATTTTTCTCTGCATATCAATTATATGGATCATTGCACTGGGTCACAAAAAAGTTGTGTTTATCTGAGTAGTTTGGATATATTTGCTGAAAAACTGGATTATGTTTGCAGATGAATAACTTATTTGCTATTTATGTTCTGATGAAAGAATTAATGGTGAAATGTATTGGTCCAAAAGAAAATTAGAGTTTTAGGAAATCATTTGATAGAAAATATATATTTCAAAAATGTTTCTGAGGCAAACTTTTTCAGGCTTCAGATGTTGTACCAATTTGTTATAACTGGCTTGCTGTTCCGGAATGACTCCTATTAATAAGCACTCAGCAGTTCATGAGCTGGACTTCTTACTGACTTCATTCCATGTGCTCCAAAGGTTTCTGCTCTCTGCTCTTCCAGGATTATGAGTTTCTCTGCCCAGTCCATTTCTGTAATAATAAACTAATTTTAGATGTCTACATTTTTTTTTATTGATCACTGCAAATATTATAAAATGGCCACACAGGATTCACATTAAGCATTGAAAATAACTAATAAAAAGAGATGACTAACGGTCTGTAACTGAGCCACAGTCATTGCTTCTTCAACCAGTGGTGGATGTACAAGTCCTTAATTAAGTTTTCCACCTTTAAATAATGAGGCTCTTAGCACAGAGCAGTGTTATTGCCAGGTTCAGTGGGGATTAGAGCCACTAAACAAAGACTTGAGAAGAATTTCTGTTTGAGGTAATGTATGTGACATTTTAACTGGTATTTAACCTCTTTAATAGAATTCTGGGCTGTTTTGCTGCACCACTCCTCCCAAACATGGGAATATTGCCCCCTTCCATCTCCAAGTGATGGCAAACATAGACTCAGCCTCATTTTATGAAGTCTGAACTTGGCACGAGTCATTTCCAGCTAAACTGACTTGACTGATTGAACCCTGAGCTGAAAATGCAGTTCTGTTTTGGTGCTTCTCAGTCAAAACCTCCTGTATCAGCTACAACTGAGGTGATATTGGCACAGGTTAATGGAAGATGAAGGTGAAATAATCATGTTTAGTAGTAGGGATAAAACACTTCTGGTAAGAATCCTGCTCTGGTCATTGCTGTTTGCTGTACCTGAATCTGCTGAGAGGGAACCAAAATATTGATACATTCAATAAAATATTCAGTAAAAGGAGGGTTTGAGAACTCAAAAATGCAGAAAGGCGCAAACCTAAAGAAGCAGAAGGTTGGCTGAGTGCCATAATGGTTCCTTTTCATCTCTAGCTGCTGTGGCTCTAATACCACATTTTTACTTCCCTTTAACCAAAATGTGGTACATTCCTTAGGCCATCAGGTGTGTGGACTGAGGTTGCAACCTCAAAAATCTTTCTCAAAGAAGGCTGTTACTTCTTGAGCAATTCCTTGACATCCTTAGGATTATTCTGTGAGTAAAAAACAAGTCAGTTTATCAAAGTGCTGAAACCCAGCCTTCTTTGGCCATTGATTTAAAAGATTAAATCTTCATTTTTTGCATGTGGTATGAATCTGGCCTTTCACAGTCAGCACTTTTAAAATAAGCAACTGTTAGTGTCTGATTTCTGCCTTCGCTCTCTGCTGCACGTGCTGAAGTAAAAAGCTGTTGCCCATCCCTTCATTCCATCCAGAATACCCTTGGCAACAAATATCCATATCCTTATTGTTGTCAAAACTCATAAGAACAGAGCTGGACTTCCCCCAGGTCTAAAGTTTTACATTTGCACTCTGATAAATGCAGCTTTGTCAGCTCTGAGGGAAGAAAATAAGAGAAAGGAAAAAAGCAGAGACCGTGTCTCCAGTGCATGGTCATGGGCTGCTCTTTAAAGGCAGCCAGATCCCAGCTACCCCTCCGTGGGAACAGTGTTCCGGGGAGGAATTACATTTCTTGTTGTCTGTTAAATAAAAATACAAGCAAATATATCCACTGTGAAAAAACTGAGAGGCATTTGGGGAAGGTCTTTACACTTCCCTTGCTTCCAGCGTGGCAGAGGGATGTGTGGAGTGGCTGAAGGGACGTTTAGGTTGCCCTGTGCCATCTGGGAATCTTGTTTTGTGCGTGCACTGAGCTGTTCTGTGGCTTTTTAGGGGCTTGTTTAGCAGTGTATGAACAAAACCCCCTGCCTTTAACCTTTGTGCCCAGCTCCCAGTGGCTCAACTGCGTTTTCCAGGTGGCAGATGAAACAAAGTCTCAGCAGCCACTTGTCCTGAGCGTGGCCTGTGATGCCACCCCAGCATTTCCAAGTCCAGTGGCACTTTCTGAGGGGGCAGTCTGGGTGCAGGAAGGGCATCTGAGGACTGTTGTTCTTCCACAGCAGAGTTTTCATGCAGTAACTTTTGAATTCCTCTTTGGCTTCAGCCTCAAACCATTTGTGGTGCCCACACAAACAGGCCTGGAGAATCCTGTGCATGGGATCAAATCCTAAATTCCACCAACCCATAGAGGACTTCTGCCACCTCCATTGGCTTTGTGACTCACCGTCAGCAGTTTGCCAGCTTCTCTGGCTCTGACACTCTTGCTGTCTTTTGAGTATAAAAATATGGGGAAATGTAAGATCTTTTCAGAGTTTCTGCTTTATTGTTTTATCCCCTGTCCCCAACTTTATTCTGAAATTTGGGAGAACTCCATTTAAATGCTTATTCAGGATACTTCACTGCATCTTGTAGTAGAGGGCATTAATAGACAAGCTTGGATGAATTTCTGAGTCAGTGAAATATATTTTCCAAGGAAAGCAGTGAAGGTGTGTTTAACTTATTTCCTGTCTGACAAAACTCTGGACTGATTCTTCAATAGGATGATGAACAAACTACTCAGATGATTTTGTGTGCAAACTGCTCTGGTGTTTTTCCTGCCGGTTGCATTTTTTGTCATTCTGGTTGAGCCACTGATGCTGATGGGGCCATTCTCTGTATTTATGTTGCAGGAATCGCTTACCTGGGAGGTGTCTGCAGTGCCAAGAGGAAGTGTGTTCTTGCTGAAGACAATGGTCTCAATCTGGCTTTTACAATTGCACATGAACTTGGGCACAAGTAAGAACCTGTCCTTCTGTTTCCTTCTTTCCTTCTGCCCCTGGAGCACACTTTTGTTTAAAGCCAGACAAGTGCAATTACCAGTGTGGCATGTTTGTTATGATTTCATAAATCTGGCACATTGGTACCTAACTTAATTTTTGGGAGGCTCACATAAATATTCATTTCAGCACGCATAAATCTTTCCAGTTGATTTTCCCCTGTTTTCTACTCTCTCTTCTGATTCTGAGTGGCACAAAGAGGCCTCTTCTCTTAAATGATTGATGGTAATAGAGACAAATTCTACTTTTCTTCACTGCATAGAATAGGTCCATAAAACCACCATCAACTTCAAAGTCTTTGAACTTGCTAAATTTTCTCTGAAGTTCAGGTGTCTGTGTCAAGGACTTTAATAGTTAAATAGTTTGGTAATGGTTTCATCTCTGCATGTGAAGTAATCTGCTGTGACTGAAATGGTAAACATCAGTATTTTAGAAATGCCCCTAGGCATTATTATTTGATCAGCAGAAAGAAATCATATAACTTGATTTATCAGCTCAATCACACCTAAGGAACACCCTTTGAACACACAGGAAAAAACAGGAAAGAACGTGATAACCCCAAGTCAGACAGAAATGTGCAGGATGAGATTACTGGGTACTCTCTGCAGGTGACTTTGAAGACTCTTTAAAGCTGCCTGAAAATATCCCCTGGACAGAAGAAAATTGAGTGGAAGAGTCAGCTGCATCCTCCTGGTGCAGCTCATGAGTTAAGCGAAGGTCAGCTTCCCATTCCCTGCTCTCCAGGCTCAGTGTCACAGGCACTTACTCAGAATACTGAGGAGCTTTTCCCCCTTTCCATTGACATCACTCTGGTTGAACTTTGTCACAGTCAGGCTGTGTAAGGTACAGAATTAGACCAGGAACAAAGTTACACAGGGCTCAGGACTGTACCCGTGGGATTTTCAAGTGCTCCTTCCTTCAGCTTCTCTGGATGGAAGGTGGGAAATCCCACCATCATTCCTGTACTAAGGAACTGTGCCCAAGTTTTGTCTGCTCCATTCTGGGCTCCAACAGTTTGTGTGCCTGTTGCATCTTCCTTTCCTGGAGTAAGGAGTATTTCACAGCTAAGTCAGAGTCAATGTAGCATGTTCAGATCCTGGCCAGTCTCATTCCATGACAATTACTTTATGGCAATGTATTTCAAAGTTGCATGGAGGATTTTTAGGTTACTACCAAAAATGACAAGACGAAAATGAATCTCCTGTTCACCCTCCAGTGACACCAAAGGCAGCTGAGCCAAACCGAGGGTGGTTTCTGCAGAAATGAAGGACATTTGGTTTTGGTTTTATTTAAATTGCATGCCAAGATGTTAAACTGAGCCTAAACTTAATAACAAATTAACCTGTGGGTAATGTTAAGGGAAATTCAGCACTCATCTTTGGATGGGCCAAGAGCAAGAGGGAAAAAATACTTGAGCTGCAGAAAATCCAGCTGTGTAAAAGAGTGAGACTGGTGTGCCCTGGTGTTTGCCAAGTTTCTCAGCAGAGCTGACAAGCTTCCTTCCAATAATGCCTTGCAAAAAAATCCCCACCATAAGCAGGGGATGTAATGCTTTCAGATACAGCTCCATCTGTGCACAAAATTGCAAACTCCATTTGCTTTTCTGAGGGCAGTTTTGGTGCTGAGACCATAATGTCCTTCCTTTCTTTGCACCTTCTGCTCCAGGAGAGGCTTAGATCTCATAGTGAGGAGAGAGAGAGAGTTCAAATGGAGAGTGCAGGTGAGGGAGGACAAATGGCAAAGGAGGCTGAATTTTCTAACAGAGCTGCCTCATGAACCACTTCCCTGAGAGAGAAAAAATGAGAACAGGCTTTGGAAATAGAGGGATTGGGAAGATATTTGAGCACTGCAGGGGTGTGGAGGGTCTTACCATAACCATGTATAGTCAACTCCCAGTGTGCCAAATCAGAGAGGGAAAAATACCATCCCTCACCATCCAACCTGGGCATTAAAGTCATCCCTCTGTACTGTCACCTCCCAGTGGTCTGGTTACTTATTTCAAACTGGTCAATTGACTGGTGCTTTTCTGACCTGGAGATCAACAGGATCCTTTCATTGACCTTTCAAGGTGTGAGACCTCTCCTTATCCTTCTGGTTTTGAACTGCTGTAGGATGCTCTGAGCAGCCCTGGTTTAGCACCTCTCATGTAAGTAGAACTCTACTTACATGTTTTCGGACTCTACTTACAAACTTGCAGTTTTTAATTGAAATATAAGGAAACCCACAGCAGAGATGAACACAAAGAAGCTGACATGAGCTTGAAAAATGGAAACCAAGGAAAACTAGGTACAAGTTTCTTAATTTTAAAAGAAAATCCGATCAAAACTTACATCCATATTGGCAAAAATATAAATTTTGGAGAGCCGTAACCGTGAGCTTTACTGAAGTCTGATTTCCTTATGAGTGTAGAAAAGCTGAGATTTATTATTCTTTCCTTAAGACTAACAAATGTCTGTGGAGATCACAAGCCCAGTTTGGCATTCACAGATAGTTTCTGATGTGGACTTTGGAAAAAGTGAATGGATTACTAATTGATGTGTCAGATTCCTAATCTGCCACTAATGTCATTTGGACTGACTGCAAAAAACACTGTTGCAGGCAGCTGCACTGTGAAAACATGGAGACATCATTAAATAGGTCCATTAGGAATAAATAGGTCCTATGAAAGTTCATCCTCAGGTTTAACCTATAGGGTTGTTGTTGCTTGATAATGGGGTGAGTGACATGACTTTTATTTCTTGTATTTAAATTTTTCAATCTGTGTTGATAATTTTGGTCCATGGACGCAGAGGGAGCATCCATTTGTGTTTAGATACAATTTGTCCTACAAAAGGATGCAGAAGAAGAATTTTACTCTTACAAAAAGGCTTTCAGAGCCCACTGAATATGTGGCAGGGCTGCAAACCATAACCTTCTTCCCATACAAGACAGGACCCTCATCAAGCCTCATTCCTTTATTCAGCAGGGTCAATAGTGGATGCCTATTAAACACACTTGAACGTAGCCACAGTTAGTTGGGTTTTATCCAGGGTTTGCTGGGTGAAGTTCTGTGTTCTGACCTACACAAAAGGAGAGACACAGAGATCACAGTGGGCAAGGTCTTCATGTTATAAACATGATACACTGAACACTTTCTTAGTCTCCTCTTTGCTCAGACTAGCAGGGCAAGGCCATCAGTAAACTGGGATCCTGAGTGGTGCTTCCCTCCTCCTCCATGAGCTGCACCAGTGGGAAGTCGATCTGACATTCACACCCCAAAGACCACCCTGAACAACCCACTTCTAGAAAAGTAGTGCCACTTCCCCCTCCCCTGGTTCTTTCTTTGTCTACAGCATTGCCTTTGTTACCATTTTCAAGTCATTCTCCCAAGAAAAAAAAAAGGCAAATAAGTTTTTTAAACAAAAGCCTGGATTCATCCTTATATCCGTTACCCCTAAACGGAGCCGGGTGGGCTGCAGCCAGTGGTTTTTCAGGACAACAATGCCAGCTTTGTTGCCATTCCTGTTTCTTTCAACAGCCTCAGCTTTCCTGTTGTGGGCTGGGGGCAGGCTTGGGTGAGGAGGGAAGATTCCCATTCATGAGCTGGCGGAACCTGGCACTGCCTGGCTGGGGAGGGAACAGCCGGAGGTGGGATGGCTGGAAGCCACAACGTGTCAGATGCCCTTGAGAAAGGGAATTAAATTCAACTGACAATAAGCAAGGAGCAGTCTGTTGCCAACACTCTGAAACCACATGGCCTCAAACTTGAAGCTGAAACAGATGAGGACAAAAACGAGTCCAAAGGTAAAAAGCCCCTAATGCACAAACCAAACAGCTCTGGGCTTGGAATCAGACAAGAGAAGAGTTTGGAAACAGCAGGTTTCTCTCCAGTGTGAATATTTGCTTTAGATGTTAAGTATTGATAGCTGGAACTTGGTTAAAATTACTTTAGGGTGCATAATTATTTGCTGCATGATCAAGTATGGCCTTTGTGGTGTGTCTCAAGCAATCCTGATGTTGCAGGTAAGGGAAAAGCACTCTCTGGATGTTCCCTTTGTGGTCTGATATTTATGCTGATAGACCTGTGAATAAACTTGCCTCCCTGATCTGTGCAGTGCAGCACCAGCAGAGAGATTCATGCAAATGTGTCAGAATGTGGAAATATTGCAGGCTGAGGAGGAGCAGATCCCAAAGGTGCAGAACAACTGCACCCTGTAACAACTGACACTGGCAAAGCCAGCTCAGCATGGTGCAGCCATACAACTTTAATTCCTGAGAACCAAAGAGGAGATTAACTGTCCCACTTCTTCTCCCCTGCCCTGCAGTTTATAGAGGGTTGGTCCTAATGTATTTTAAAAATGAACATTTTTGTGTGGAAGCTGAGGACCACCCCAGTAAATGGGACCCAGAGCTGTGCAGACAGGTAGTGATGCTGAGTGCCCACTGTGCTGATAGAAACCTGTTTGTGTTTCTGGAGCAGTTTGTGTTCTGGGATTCCAGTCAGCAGTGGAGCCAGGCAGCCAAACCATGGTGATGGGGCAAGGAGAGTGGTTCTGGAAACCCTGTAGAAATGGAGGACCCTCTGCTACAACTTCTCTCATTTTAATCTGGGAATATAACATTTAGGTATGGGATGTGGGAGCTGAGAAGCTGTTTTGATAGAAAAAAGACCAGCAACCCTCTTTATATGCTTTAGAGCAGCTCACCATAGTCTAACCCTTGAACTCCGTGCTCTACTGATACAGGCATCTGTGTGTAGTTTCTGTCCTGGCTGACTTTAAACATTAACTCTGTTTTTCAGACAAGCTCCTACCTGAGCTGCTTTTTCTGCTGTGTTCCTCCGAGTTCGTCCCACTTTTATCAGGTCGGTTCTGCCCCACCTGAATTTCTGTGGAAAATTTGTCTTTGTTGCTGTTGCAGAAATCCAGCAATTCATTGCCAGGGGGCAATGTGTCCCCTGGTTACTTCTTATCTCCCAAA